CGCTGCCTGCCTTGGATTTTATTATGTACAATCCTTGGATCACACAGGCTGGTGTGCTTCTTCCATGTGGACTTAGCTGTCACCTCCACAAACTTTTTGAAGCTCCCTCTGGTATATAGTCTGTAATGATCAGTTTCTACTCTTATGCTTCAGACATTCATCTGGATTGGTTATTTCTCTTCAGTAGGCTTTTCTATTGTGTGAATTACAATGTATGGGTTCTCTTTTGGCTAGTGGTCATTGATTTTCTTCATTTGCACTGCGTTGATTTTGTGCCCAATTGGCTCCTTTGGTATCTCAAAAGTGATGGGCTTAAAACACACCCTGTCCGAATAAGGCCTCATTAATACAACAAAGAAAAACCCTAGTCTCAGATGGCAGTACGTCCACAGGCATAGTGGTGAGGATGTGAACATATATAGTTTTTGAGGGGACACAATTCAATTCATAGCAGGGTTACAAAGTAGACAGGCTGAGGGGGCTTCTGAGCACTGCCCGGAGGTCTCAACCAGGGCACCCTCTGCAGGAGGCCCTTATGGTCTGCTTTCCCAGGTGGTGATCCTGTGTCCCTACACCGGCATCCAGCAGACCTTCCCTTGCAGGAACTGGCTGGATGAGAAGAAGGCGGACGGTCTGATTGAGAGACAGCTCTATGAGATGGTGTCTCTCAGGAAGAAGAGGCTGAAAAGTAAGTGCAGGGATCTCTGGTTGGCTGGACTCTCAGACCGAGGCAGCAAAAAGCCAGGCCATCAGAGCCCTGGGCAAACTCTTCAGGACGGTTCGTCCCTGCTTGAAGGGAAGTGGAAGGGGCCCCTGGGAAGCTCAGTTCTCCAAGGTCGAGGCCACATGCACTGTCCTACCTGGAACCAAGGCTGATCTTCCAGGGTCTACAAAACGCCAGAATCTGCTGTGAGGGGCTGGATGGGAAGTGGAATGAGCCAAACAGTGTCCTCCGCCTGCACAGTGCCGAGGGAGGGTGGCATGGGTGCTTCACCTTATTTTAGAACACCCTAACAGCATTAGGTCCTAAGAAGGATTGTTAAGGCACCTTCTTTCGAATAACAATGAACCCTTGCTGCTGTTGATAGGTGCTGTCTAGTCAGTTCCACCTCGTGGGGAACCTGTGCACAACAGGACACAAAGCACTGCCCGGTGCTGCCCCGTCCTCACAGTCACCGCTAGGTTTGAGCCCCATCGTTGCGGCTCCTGGGTCAATAGATCTTGTTGAAGATCTCCCTTGTTTTACCCACCCCCTTCTGGACCAAGGGCCATGTCCTCCAGGGAACGGGCTCCCTGATCACATGTCCAAAGTCTTGCCATCCTTGCTTCTAAGCAATATTATGGCTGTGCTTCTACCCAGAATGAAGCCCTGATGTCCTACCTTTGACGCTGGCCGCCGTGGGTTTCTGACAGTGGGAAACGCCCGTGTCGAACCTTCCCTTCTGTCTCTGATTTGCCTCCCCTTCCCCACTGGTCCCGGGAAAACCCTTTTGCTTCTTCAAGTTTATGGTGCAACTGATCTGTCTCTGTAGAGTTCCCTTGGTCCTTGTGGGTCTGGACGACCGACCTGAAGAAAGCGGGGACCAATTCTCCCATCTTTATCCAGATTTATGGCAAGAAGGGGCGCACGGA